TTTACTTTCATTTTTATTCTTCATCGGCCGAGGTAGCTCAGTAACCCCGTAAACAAAACAAATTAACTTGATGTTTTGAATCAGCGAGCAATTCTACATACAAATTGGATAGTGGCATCTGGAGAACAAAATCAAAATTAAAATTTGTGATCCTGTGTAATTCTACGAAATTCTGATACATAAGTATTGGATTTTATCAGACGTTATTTATATTCTCTTTCACTATACGCACATGCATATATGTATGTACATACATACGAGCACCAATTAATTTAATTTAAAGAAATGGCGTGTCGTCCATTTCCGCTGTAACGTATGTAGTGCTTTTTTTTTGCCGCAATATTTCACTACTTCCGGCGAGGCGACATCTACCTGTAATGCCTAATTGTGTGTTCTTTGATATGTTATCCACCGACGAGGTTGATGTCTAAACTTTTTATATGAACTGTGATTATAGCAAAAGTGTCTGGACAAAGAACATTTTAAGTTGATGAAAGTGTTGTAAAATAAAATACTTTTATTGTCAGGAAACTTACCACTTAACAGTTGGTTCGGGCACTGCATAAATGTCGGTTTCTAAAGTAAGCGTTCCATTTGCTTGAACTTCAGTATCCTTCAATGGTTTTCTAATTTTTGGTTTACCTATAATTGAAAATTTTAGTTTTGATTTTACTGTGTGTTACTATGATAGTTACAGTTTACTGTCACTATGCATTCATTCTCAAGTTTTCCATAATCGTTCATAATTTTACAGCAATATGTGCCCTGCATTGATGTGTTGACTTCTTTAAGTACCAATTTGTATACGTTGTTCTCCTCGACTCGGCGAAATTCTTTTCTTTTTTCATCGATCTCTATACCATCTATATACCATTGAATCTTCGGCGGTGGGTAAGCATGAACACGAACTTCTAAATCAACATTGCAATCACCTTCGGTGACTATAATATTTGACAACTTCTTTGTGAGTTCCGGAGTGCATTTTATTAATAATTTTGTTTCACTTGATGCACAGCCATGTTCATTTTCTGCTATTACTTCATATTTTGCGGAGTCGACGCGAGTTACTTCTTTTATTTTAAGTACATGTTCATTCCCTTCCACAGAGGAGCTATATTTTACATTATTGACGAAATTAATCTCATTCCCGTCTTGAAACCATCGGACTTTAGCTTCCGGAAAAGCATCAACTTTAACACTCATTATAACGGTTTCCTTTTCCCCATTTACGTATTCCTCCTCTAAATGCTTTATTATAATTGGTTTTGATTTAACAATGCACTGCCAATATTCAGAAGATTGGCTTATATCGTTTGTAGCTCGAATTGAATAGTTTCCACTTTGATGGAGTTCTATGTTGCTAACTTCTAATACAATATTCTCAGTACATTTTCCTATTGAACTAGTGGAAAGTTTTACGTTTGCATCATTAGTAATATCTCTACCGTTATTTGTTAAATTAATAAGAGGTTTAGGAAAAGCATCGATTTCTATTTCCAGTTTGATTGTTTCACCGGCAAAACAAGATACATCATTTACCCTTTTGATTCTAGGTCCAGCTGAAAGAAGAAAATTTTTTTTTTAATAATTTTAGCAAAGTGTAAATGATCTATGATTTTTGGGTATCTCATATCTGAATGGCTGGTTTGAGCCGTTTTGCATTTTTGCGAAGATACAGCCCGCGACAAAACGATAGAGCCTCAACATTTCAAACAGTTTTGACTATTTACCTTCTGTCTTTTTATATAAAAGTACAGCTCTTTATCTAACAAATACCACATAAATCCAAATTTCAGACTTTGTACAAAAATTATAAAAATTCCACAAACTTTTCATCCCAATTCCAAGTATTTTAATTTTAATTTCTAAATTAATTTTTGGTATGCAGTTTTGTAGCTTTTTAAAATCTACTATATATAATAAACTGCACATTTAAAGTTGCTAAAAAACTGCGTTGATTTTTGATATTTTTTTTCTGACGGTATCACTCATTTTCTTACTTACCAAAATTTTTTTTTATATGGAAAAGAGTGCATAACACCGTCTTAAAAAAAAAACAATTGAACAAAAATCAAGGTGATTTTTTACCAACTTCAAACTGCCACTTTATTATAGCAGATTTTAATAAGCTATAAAACTGCATATCAAAAATTAATTTAGAAATTCTAGTTAAAATACTTTTAATTGGGATGAAAGGTTTGTGCAGTTTATAAAGTTTTTGTACAAAGTTTGAAATTAAGACTTATACTGTTTTTGTTAGATAAGGAGCTGAACCAGTGCACTATGGGAAATTTGACCCTATTTTGTGGCCAAAATTCTAAAAGTTGAGATATCAATTTAAAACTTGGCCCAGTAGTAGAACTAGAACTAGTGGCCTTGCCGCGCAAAAATTAACCCGTAATGGTCGCACCTCCAAAAAATAGCGTAATGGTCACACGGGGTCCAGTGGACCCCAACCCAATAAACAGATGCCTCGTACGTTCTATTTTAAATACCGACTCGAATCCTCCACTGATCTTAAGTTTAAAACTTTTTCTTTGTTATCTGACAGGTTTTTTCCAACTTTTAAATTATAACACCGTGAATTATTTCATAAAGCTCATGATTTTGTACCAAGTAGTTACCTAAGAAAAATTATAATTTTTTTAATATCGCACAAAATCGCAGTATAAGGTTATGGGGAAATAAGAGATCAGGGACTATTCTACCGATTTATGAAGAGTTTTTTTTAAACGTTTTTACCATTTTTTTAAAACAATGAATAAAGTTTTTTTTTATTGTACAATTTCACTTTAAAGTCACTTAAATGTGGACGTTTCTTTGGCACAACCTTTAATCTATAATAAAAGTTTTAATTGGTAAATACTCTGCTAACCGTCACTCCTTCTTTCCTCTTTTCACTTTGAAAAGCAGCAAATACATAGACTACGGGATACACGCATTTGAAAGTGGCACAAAATCAAGCTACACATTTTTCGTTTACAGAAAGTTTCGAAACTATCTGTTTGTGGGTTACCAAATGAACGGTAAGTCAATTTATCGAAAAACAGAATATACTGTTTTTTACTCTGAAGTATTCTCTGTAAGATAAGACAAAAATAATTAATTTCAAGCAAGCCAAGAAATTTACTTTTGGCCACAAAATAGGCTCAAATTTCCCATAGTGCAGTGTTGCCAAACAAGAGCTTTTCCTACCAAAACTGCTAGATTTTTTTCCATTTAGTAGGTTGGTAGGCTAGATTGGATTTTGGTAGGTTCCGCGACAATAATAGTTATTTTCGAAAAATATAAAATATGTACATATCTCCAAATATTTTAGCAACCTTGTGTCAACTGACATGGCAACACCGGTCAACAACGACAAAAGAGAAGGATGAAAAAGTAATTGACAGTCGTGCCGGTGCTCTCAAGCTGTAAAGTGTGCTATCCTGATACATATAACTCGAATGTAATAAAAACACTAATTAATTGATATATCTATTTTAAATGTAATAAAAACACTAGTCACTAAAGTACAAGTGACATATTTTCAGAAGTGAGGTGTGCCCGTGTGCCACTCGTAACGAAAAAAAAACTATAATATTGCGTTGTGATTTTTGCTGGCGCATAAACGGCGGAAAGTTAACGTGTTCGCGCGGCTAGATAAACTACATACATACATACGTTTGTGGAAACGAATGCATTCGAAAATGCCGAAATTCAGTGAACTAAAAGTTGAGCAATTGCGTGAAAAATTGCGAAGTTTAGGTTTATCTACCGTCGGCAACAAAGCACACCTCGTGGAAAAACTGTGTGAACATTTCAGCGAAGAACGTTTCGCAAGCGCGATAAATATAAGTGCGGAAAAAGAAAATTCCTTCGTGGAATCGCAAATCTAAAATCGTAGCATCCCATTGAGTTGTTCGTCGCCAGTCATGACGACATTGGTTTCATCTAAACATACATTCGTAGGGTTCGAACGATACTATCGATATTGAGTAAGTATCGATACTTAGGGTATAAAAATGTGTACTTTAATACTCGATACCTTATGTGGTGATTTTACTCGATACTGCAAAGTAATCGTAGTATCGAATACTTTTTAAAAAATACACTTTTTAAATTTTTTCTTCCATTGCTTTCTTTGCTTATATGGATTACTATCATTCAATTTTGTCCATCACTTAAAATAAACTGAAATTGCGTGTAGTCTGTTGCATATCATAAGCCAAATAAGTTAAAGTTTAATGGCCATATTCATAAAAAATAGAGTAGGTTTAGCTTTAGAGCTTAATAAAATGACATTTTCATACATTTTTCAGTTTATAAACCTTTTTTATTTTTTATGAATAAGGTCATAAAACTTTGTGCAAAGTTCACGAAAATGCAGAATTTTTAGAAACTTTTTGGGTATGCAGTTTTATAACCTATTCAAATTTACGTGTAGCCAAATTATTACGTGTAGCCTACTACCGTTGACTTTTAATTCAAACTTGCACATTATTATACTAAAATTGAAAATGCATACCCAAAAAGTTTAAAAAAATGTCTTAATAAAAATTGAGATTCGTGAAAGTATAAATATATATATATATATATATATATATATATTTGTATGTATGTTTGTACATTTAACACTAAAATTACTTCTAACGTGAAGGTAAGTTCTGCAATGAAATAAAAATCAAATATTTTAAATTTATATTGTTTTATTTTCAGGAAATAACTAGATATACGATTGAAGAATAAAATATTTTAAGTATCCCAAAAAACGTATTATAATGAGTCCGATACTGAGTAGTATCGATACTTTTTCCCTGATACTTTTAGGGTATCGATACCATGAGCTCGATGCCAGAATGAGTACTCAGTATCGATACCAAAGTCTGAAATTTCGAACCCTATACATACGTGCCAACAACGGAAAATTCTGCTGCAACAGCCTGGTGTACTCAAGCTAACGATTGGCCGCCGACGATTTATGGTGGCTCAGCTTCGGAGTACCCAGTGCCTAGCGCTTCAGTGCAAGCGAACATACAAACCTCATCGGCAAACGTATACGGCCGACACGTACATTGGGGTGCACATACATGTATTTCACCATCGCAGTCTAATGCGTGGACAGCGAACAACGACAATTCTGTACATAGCGAAGCACAGACGGAAATTCAAATAGCAACGGCCAAGGTTTATATATTAAAGGTTGCGCACTGCGCAGGTCCGTTACTCCTCTCTTGTAAAATTTGGCAATCAGCTGTTCAGCTTGCCGACAAGGGCGACAAAACAGCAAAAATAACAAGCAGCGTGAAAAGTGAAGCAATTGAAATACGCAGTTAAATACGCTAAGCAAATGAAATAAATTTACATAGAATAAAAATTGCAATGCAGTGTGCGGTGTGGAATTGTGTAAGCCAACGCAGGGACCCATCTGAAAAAAAAGATCTTTTTTCCGTTTCCCAAAGGATCCGAAACAGCGAGAGAAATGGTTGAAGTTTTGCTGGCGATCTAAAGTTTTTAAACCAAAAACGTGGAGAATTTGTATGGACCATTTTAAAGACGAACATATTAGTTTCAACATTTTTGTTATAATACATACATATGTACATATTTTCTTTTAAAGGACTACAAACCAGAAGATGCTTGCGGCCCGGCGCCATTCCATGTATATACACAACCGCTCAGCAGCAGTTGAAGAGGCTGGAAGAG